AAAATCATCTTTGTTTTTTGCTACTCTTGCTCTGATGGGAGCAATAAAACAAAAAAGTTTAAAATAAACTCAAAAGAGTTGGATGGAAGATCAGCTGCAATGTAGATGCATCCTCAGTRTTTCTCTGGCTTAATCCATCCACATTGTATCAATTACAATTAGTTTAAGATTTTATTTTTTTTTTGTGGCTACTGATGGCATATGTTATTATTTAGCTCTTCAAGAGCGGTGCTGATGTAGCATATTATGGTGTCTATACAGCTGCTCATTTAAAATAAGAAATTCTTCTGTGCTATTGCTATAGGAAGAGCACACTTAAATCTGGATTTTTACCTCCTGGCTATGCACAGGTGCAGCCTACAAGTGTGGTTCATGTGATTTGCATTTTACAGCCTGGATGCATTTGCTCCTTACTGAAAAATGAAGTTGCAGTGGCATCATCAAATCTGGACTCAGTGTTGCCTCTGAACAACTGTATTAGAACAAATGCCTTTCCCACATAATACATTGTTCACTGCATTTGTCCTTGTTACAGTTTAATCTGGCAGGTAGCTAAACAGCTGTGGGCTCACTTTCCACCCTCTCCCTGTGTCTTCTTGTGTCCCAGGTGCCTTACTGGTGTGACAGTGTGAGGACCTGAAAATTCCAACACTAAGTGTATAACACTGCTTAGTAAAATCTAAGATATCAGTGTGTAACCAACCTTATTCTTATTCTAAATCCACAAAACAGCACTATACCAACTAGGGCAAAAATTAATTCTGTCCCAGATAAAACCAGAACAATATCCACCCTTTATTCTATAGAATTGATCTCATGTCTAGGTCCCAGTCTTCCCAATGCATCCTTTCCTGCCTTTTGATAGATGCACACAGGTATTGTTCCTTTAGGCTATAGATCATCCCTCTAAAATGTTGATCGAGTAAGTTAGCACATGACTTCAGGCTTCATCTGCCATAGCAGACCTCCAGGGCTGAAGAGTTGGTGCATGGTGTTAGATAGTGTCCATGGTAAGTCCGTAACTCATTTGCAAACCCATTTGTATGTTGCATCTTGTCCTGGATGGCCCAGGGAGTCATAGACCCACCAAGATCCTTATCTTCCTCCTCCTCTTCTTGTGATAGCCCTGTTTTGGAATAGTCTGCTTCCTGATTCCACTCAGAAGCAGCTCCTTCATCCCTTACTAAATGAGTTGACTTSTGTTTCCAGTATTTCTCCTTGCATATGGGGCAGTTGATACAGGCGCAGGTCGGTTCTCTGGTTCAGCCATGAGCTCTGTCACTTTCCTGTCAGTCTGTCAGAGACTGAAATGTTATAGTTAAAGGCTTAAACATCTTCAGAAAGAACTGTATAACAGGAGCTACAGAGGAGACTACCACTCCCTGACTGAAGACACTGCACTGCATGTTAATGAAGATAAAATGACTCAGGTCTGGGCTGGGGAAAGAAGAGTACRTTCACAGAGGCATGACACTTAGCACCTTCGGGGGCTGTCGGCTGCCAGGCTGGAGGAGACCCTGACACCAAAGGATGGGGGAGAAGAAATTTTGGGTGTRTKGTGAGAAAGCCTCTGGTCTGWGGCAGTGAATTCCCACCCTCCACTGTGYAGAGCAGCYCAGCTGTGGGGKCCCTGCAGCCCGGGAAAAACTCATCCACAGGAAGGACAACTGAGGGGGTGTCACAGCCCATCAAAAGCACCCCCAGGGGGTTCCCAGATCCTTCACCAGAGATGATGCAACAGATCCACAGCATTGCAAGGACAGGGTCAAACTTGCCCTCCACAGGGGAGGCACCTGGGTGTTACCACATCACCCAAATGCATATTAATCTA